CCAGCTGCGGGCGGGGGCGGGGCAGGGGCAGGGGTCCTACTTTTTAATTTACTGTCTTAATACTGCGGAGTGACGCGGACGGAGGGCCAGAAGTGTGGGCAGTGTGTGCTCACTCGCATTTCCTCATCCTCCCAGTCAGCCTGACGGTCAGGCTTCATACACACGGCCCCCCTTGGCGCGTGTCCTTTGGTTTAATTCTCGAAGCCGCCTGGGGGGCGCGGTCCGTCTCAGGTGGAAGAGCGGCCGTCTGTGTGGGCCTGGCGGCCGGAGCCCGCCCACCCGGGGCTGGGGGCCGGCTGCCGGCTGCTCCTGGGCCGGGCCCGGGGGTGGGGGGGGGACCTGGGGGGACCGGGGAGGCGGGGCCTCGGCGGGCACGCTGCCCACAGGCTGAACTGGGGCGGCTTATTTTGCGGAAGATCTTCATTGTTTGAAGCAGGCATTGGGTGTTTTAATCGTGTATTTAATTTTAAAGATCATTTTGAAAGAGCGGCAGGAGAGGAAGCAGCAGCGTCTCCAGGAGAATGCCGTGAGCCCCGCCTCTGCCGGCGAGGACGCGCAGGCGCCCGCGCAGCCGGACCCCTCAGGTGGGCGCTCTGCTGACTGGCTTCTGAAAGAGCCCTCCAGCGGGCACAGCCGTGTCACAGCCAGCCGTCAGGGCGCTGCCCCGCCCTGCTCCCTGGGCACTGGGCTCGGGGACGTGGGAGTTTTCAGCTCCCAGCCGACAGTGAGAGGACGTCCCCGCGGGTCGGTGTGGGTGGGGCCCCAGGCGTGAGCTCCGTGGCCTCCGATGGTGCTCGCGATTTGAAGTGGCCTTGGGACGTGACACCGTTCACTGCAAAGCTACTTCCCCACGAGTGCGAGAGGCGTGGGATCCTACAAAAACGTGGGGTAAATAAGCGTATACATTCGGAACAGCACGCGGATCATGAGCACGTAGCTGGGGTGGCCACAGCACCCGGTCCAGCAGCATAGCCGCCTCGCGGTCCCCGCCGTGGTCCCGGCCCGAGGCCTCGCTGTCTGCCGCCCCACCCGTGAGCCTCCGGCCTTCGTCCCTGTGGGACCTTGCAGCGTGTGCCCCTCCGGCCGGCAGCATGTCTGTGGCCTGCAGAGATCATTCCCGGTTGTCACTGCTGCAGAGCATCCAGGCGTAGGGACGTGCCCGGTGGCGAGGGGTGTTCTGGGAGTTTCCACGTGGGGGCTGCTAGAAGCTGGGTGGCTGTGGTGGCATGGGGTGTGTGCCGAGGACGTGAGCACCCCTCCGGCTGGCATTTCCCCGGGCAGAGCCCAGGCCTGGGTCCGTGGCCCTCCAGCCCTAGAGGCTCCTGCCGCATGGCTCCCTGGACGTCTGCTGTCTCTCCTGATGGGTGGGCTCCTCCTCCTGGTGCACTTGTGCTTCGGAAGTCTCTAGAAGTGACCCTTGAGGTGCTGTGAGCTGTTGCTGAATCCTGCCTGACGTGCTTAAACACACCTGTTGTGGCTCTCCCAGTTCAGATGCTGACATTCAGCTCTTTTTTTAAGGTTGTTTGATAAAGGAGCAGTCTCAAGCATTTAAGTGCAAAAAAATTCAGAACTAAAAACCTGCTTTTAAAACTGATGGATATAAACTTCAAGTTCAATTTCAAAATTAATAAGTTTGGCCACTGAACCACACATTTAAAAATGGGTAAAATGGCAAATTTTGTGAACATTTGCCACAATAAAAGTAAGTGAAAAACTAAATTAAGGGCGGGGAGGCACCTCCAGGCAGTGCAGAGAGTTGCTCGGTTCTTCTGTTTTTCCCAGGCCATTCCGGTCATTCCTCTGCCTCCGTGATGCTCGGCAGCCGAGGCTGGCCGCTCTGGTGACACCGCCCGCGGAGGCGCTGTCGGGCATTCCTGTCGCCAGGCCCCCTCGGTCTGTGCGCAGGGCCCTGCAGGTGCCAGGCCGTGACTTCTTTCTCTGAAACTCCAGGGGGATCGGAAGAGTCGGTGTCCTGTGCTCCTGTGGAGGAGAGCAAGTCCGAAGAGCAGCCGGGAGCTGAGCTCCAGAGGGAGGCGGAGGCCCGCCCCAGGATCCACAGCCGACGGTTCCGGGAGTGAGTGAGCCGGGGCTGTGCCCGCGCGGGGCCGGGGACACTCACATTGAGCATTCAACTCTCCGCCTGGCGTGCTCAGCGCAGCAAAGCTGCAAGGCTGGGCCCCAGGGCCCAGGGCCTAGTCATAACACGCAGAGAGCTCCCTGACGTCTTGCGACGTCTTTGTCCTAGTGACGTGATGCCAGAGGTGCGCTTGGGGAGACGGGTCGTGAGGTGACAGGTCATGAGGTGACAGCTCCTGACATCTGGTTTCCCTCTTGTGGTTTAATTTCTCTGCGTCGTTTTTTAGGGAGCTCTGCCTCCTTCCTTCCCACTTTCCTGCACCGTAAACTCCCTGAGGCGTTTGTTTTCACGGGGAGCAGCCGTGGTCAGGGCGCAGTGGGGCTGTGCTGGAGAGCAGGGTGGAGGTCTCTGTCCTTGCAGTTGGGGGCGCGGGAGGATGCCTCCATCCTTACCTTCCTTAAAGTCACATTAGCGAGGAGTTCCACCTTTCTGACTAGTGGTGTTGGTCGAAGCGTGGTTTGTTGGGGGTGGGGGACGTGCTGTCACGTCCCTCATCTGAGGAGTGGCGGCAGCCGCGCTGAGTGTCACGGCCGGCAGAGAGCTGACTGTCTCTGACGCTTCTTCCAGTTACTGCAGCCAGGTGCTCAGTAAGGAGGTAGACGCGTGTGTCACGGATCTGCTGAAAGAGCTGGTGCGTTTCCAAGACCGGATGTACCAGAAAGACCCGGTCAAGGCCAAGGCCAAGCGCCGCCTCGTGCTGGGGCTGCGGGAAGTCCTCAAGCACCTGAAGCTCAAAAAGCTGAAATGCGTCATCATCTCCCCCAACTGTGAGAAGATCCAGTCGAAAGGTAAGGGCGCCGCACGTCCCTGGCGGGCCCCGTGCCTGCGCCGCAGCTGGGGTCCGGCCCAGGCTGCGGCAGCACGGTTTGTTTTGTGTTCTTGTCATGGAGTAATTTGTTCCCAAAGTTCGTATGGTCCCTAAGGGTCTTGCTCTGTGAGGTGGCCGGGCTCCTGTGGTCCCCATGGTGTGTATTGGGTTGGCCCCTGCGAGCCTCTGGCGGCAGGAAAGGCTGCACGTCCGTCACGGGGCGTGCGGGGTGCCTCCCCGGTGTGCTCTGGGGCTGGGGAGGGGCGCTTGCACACACCGCACGGGTTTGTGATGGCAGCTGTGGGCTTCCATCCGTTTTATTTTTTACGACTATCTTTTTGGTTGGGGGAGGTCATTAGGTGTATTTGTTTTTTCATGGAGGCCCCGGGGATGGAACCCAGGACCTCGCGCCTGCTGGGCAAGCGCTCTGTCCCTGAGCTACACCCTCCTCCCTTGTGCATTTGAAGTTTACTTGCTCGGTCTGTAAGTCATCCGGCCACTCTTTACTGGTGTGGGTTTGTCCAAGCACTCGCCCTCCCACTGCAGCTGGGGTACTGGCTCTGTTCTGTGGGTGTGGTACGCCGGGCGAGGTGATCACCAGACGGATGCCTATGATGAAGTCTCCCCGTCGACCCTCGCTGGTCTGTTCTACGTCCTTCTTGGGCCGCGTGGTAGAGAGGTTGGTAGTTGGGAGCAGAACGCCGTCACTCAGACAGTGGTCCTCCGTGTTGTCTGCATGTTCAGAGTCCCTCCCTGGTGCCAGTCCTCGCGGGGGTGTAGAGTTCAGCTTGGCTGGAGCCCCACCTCCAGGGAGCCAGCCCAGATCCTGGTGCTCAGCGTTTCCGGTTGCTGCTTCCGGACTCACTGCCAGCCCCGCGGGCTTGTCCTCGTTCTGGCTCGGGGCAGGTCCAGTCCCCGCCCTCGGGACGGAGCCTCGGGGACCTGCCCGTCTGGCTGTGTCTGGCAGCGTCCCCCCCGTAGTCCTGTGGCAGGCGCTGGGCGTGACGTGGCCCGTCCCTCGGGCTCTCGGCCGGCTGCCCGGGCCTCCCGTGATCCGGGGGTGCATCGGGCCTCCGGCAGCCTGGTCGGCCTCCCCGCCTCCCGTCGGGGTGTGCCGTGTGTTGGTTCCCAGGCCTCGGGCTGGGAGAAGGGGTGCGGGCAGCACATCTGGGAGGTGGGGCTTGGTGTCCAGCCTTCCTGATCTGTGGCTTTTCCACCGTTCTTCCCTGTGCTCGGGGTGCTGGGACGCGCTGCAGGTTGTGCTCCGTGTCCTCCCCCCGACGTGCCGCTGGGAGCGCCTCCCGGACCCGTGCGCGGGGTGCCGGGCCCGCTGGCCTCCTGTGACTCCCTCCTCTTCCTTCCACCTCTTTTCTTTTGGTCTTGGTTTCAGTAGAGACTTTCCAGCCCTGTCTTTGAAGCTTTCTGTGGAGGTTTTCATCTCTGGGAGCTGTGTGTGTCGTTCTCTGCAGGTTCTGTGTGTGTCGCAGCTGCTGTTGCCTCTGGGGGATTACCTCCCTGAGAACCGCGGTGACGTGAAGCTTCCTTCTCCGCAAACGGCTTCCCTTTCCAGGGAAGACCAGGTGGTCTCCAGAGGGACCACCATGGTCTCATGGTGGATGTCTCTGCACACGTCCGGGTCCACCTGTCTGTCTGTCTGTCTGTCTGTCTGTTAAGAGCCACTGCAGCTGATGGAAACCTGGGGGTGTGGCTGGCATTTACAGGCCTGGAGCTGCTCTGTGGGGCAGGGGCTCTCAAACCGCAGTGAGCATCAGAGTCACCCAGGAGGCTGGAGAGGATGCGGATACAGCGGCCCCCAGCTCTGCGTTCCTGGCAAGTTCTCGGGTGGTGCTGCTGCTCAGGGACCCCAGGCGGCCACCCTCTGCTGTAGGAGGGTGGCGGGGTCTCCGCCCTGTTGGAAAGCACCCCAAGGGCCAGCTCTCTGCCTCCACATGCCTTGGAGGAGAACCTCGTACCTCCTGCTGGGAGCGTGGGGTCCAGTGTCGCTCAGGCCTGCTGCCCAGTGCTGGGTTGGCCGCCTGGGTGAAGTGGGCCTGGGCACCAGCTTGCTGCCACCTCATCTGAGCTGCACCCTGAATCTCTGAGCTCCCTCTGGACTTGTGAAGCTGGCGCTGCCAGCTAGTTGGCAAGCTCTGGGCGGTGAATTCTAGGGTGTAGGCGGCTGGTCCTGGGTGTTTTCCCCCTGGCTTAGTCAGCTGTGTGCATCTCAGCTTCCAGAAATGTTTTTGCTCTTCTCTCGCATTCTTCTGGGGATTTTCATCCTTGAAAGACACACCAAAAAACGGGGATGGATGTATTCATCTGACGGTCCGCCCCGTCTTCCCTGTGAGCCCCACTCCTCTCCTCTGACGCTGGGAGCGTGCTGACGGCGTCCCGAGGGCGTGCTAGGGGTTCACAGTACGTTGTGTGCTCATTCATCCCTCTGTTGATTTGCTTTGGGGCACAAGGAACTTGATTATGTGTCTTACGAATGTTCCTTGATAGCCAGTGGGTTGCGGTCACTTTAGAGGTAGAACGTAGTGTTACAGCCTGGGATTCTGTTAAAATGCTGTATTTGCTCTGAGCAGCATTTTGCCTAATAATTCTGAACTTAAACTTTAAGTGGCAGTTGTTTCTCTGAGCATTTGCGTGTTTTAGGTTGAGAAGTTGGCACTTAGAAGTGCTCTCAGCTCTCACTGGAGACGTGGGCTGGGGGTCAGGAAAGCATCGGACGCTTCCAGCATCTTCTCCCAGGCGCGTCAAACAGGACACGCTGAATCCTCCCCAAATGAGGTGTGACGCACGTGTGAAGTGTCGTGTCATCCACCAGGGGAGCTCCTCAGAGACTCGCGCAGCCCGGGTTTTTACCGGGGCTGGCCATGTGGGCGCCCACTGCCTGGCATGTGCCGAGATCCCAGACTCACAGAAGGAAAGCATCACCCTCTGTTCGCTCTCGTGTTTTGGGCACAGGAGCCATTCTCATCAGAGGTGGGGGCGGCGCTCCCAAAGCCCAAGCTCAGGTGCCAGCCAGGGGTCGGCCGCACAAGCTGCCCTTCCTAAGGCCAGCAGCTGCCCAGTTGGCCCTGTGGCAGCTCTTCCCTGCACCTGCCGGAGTCACGTCTGCTGTCATGTCCGGGCTGGGGTGGGTGCCAGGCGTGAGAGGCCACGAGGCCGGCGTCTGAGAGGCTCAGTCAGTGTCCCGTGATGAGCTGAAAACACCGCACTGTGAGGAACACAGCCTCAGCTCCGTCCCCGTCCCCCCGGCGCCCAGCCTCACCTCCATCCCCGTCCCCCTGGCTCCCAGCCTCACCTCTGTCTCCCCAGCTCCCAGCCTCAGCTCCGTCCTCGTCCCCCCGGCGCCCAGCCTGCCCGGAACTGGGGCTCTTCTTTAACGTCCGTGCCCCTGAGGGGCTCCCTCAGCACCTTTCACATTCTTTAGGTGGCCCTGGGCGGGGGTGGGCAGGTTTAAGGGAGGTGGGGCCTACGCACGGATCCCCAGTCAAGCCAGCTGGAGTGAGTTCCCGGTTCCCACCGAGCAGGGGGACGTGCATTTGAGAAGTTGCTCTTTTCAGAGAAAATTGGGCAGTCACACGTGACCAGGTGCCAGGTGACAGGACACGCTGGGAAGTCTTCCTTCTCATGCGGGCGTCGTGGGTAGTGTGTGCGCAGGGGTCAGCTTGCTGAGGACCTGGGGCGGAGCCACGCTGTGACCCCCTTCCAGGCGCTAGGCTCAAGCAGCTGGCCGTGCCGGGGGTGGGGTTCAGCGCCTAGTAGTGTCCCTTGGCGAGTGAGTCCCCCAGATTGTTCCCACGTCCCGGACGCAACCCCCTTTGTCATATTTTGACGTGTCCTTGATATTCCGTACGTGCGCACGTGTGTGTGTGTGAGAGTGTGTGTGTGTGAGATCTGGCATCCTGGGCCCCAGTTGTGCCTTGCTCTTTTTAGCATCACAGTGTGTTTCGGGACCCTCCCTTTTCTCCGGCCACATAGTCTCTTGCTGTTGGACACTTAGCTGCCTTCGGATTTCTGCAGCCGTAAACAAGGACGCCCTTGCACGCCGTGGCTTCTTGCCCGTGTGAATGTCTCTGTGGGCGCATTCCCAGAGGAACAGGGCACCTGCACCCGTAAGGCTAAGGCGCGTGCCACCTGCCTCCCGGACCCCCGCCCGCTTTCCTGTGGGGAGACTTGGAGCACGGTCCACTTGTGTACGGACTTGGTGTTTTCTCTGAATTGTTGATTCTCTGCCTTGGGAGGTCCGTCTGTTTTGTGTGCATGTACTGTTTTTTATAGTAAGAGTGCTTTGGGTGAGAGTTGAGGAGTATTTTTCTAGGGTGTCATTTGCTCATTTTTCTTTACACCTGGTTTTGGCCACGCAGAGGCTTGAGGTGTGTGTGCTGGTGTGTTTACTCTTGTTTTCATTGCATCCAGGTTTTATGTTATTCCTCGACCTTCTCCACGATTGTCCAAGGTTTATTTTTCCATTGCTCTTTCCTGGGTTTTCCGTGTTTTCATTTTTGTGTGCTCAGGGAGAATGTGTTTCGGGTGGGGCCTCGCGGGGGCCGCCCCGCTGTCGCTGCTCCGCCGCCTCCGGGGCTTCCAGATGCCCCTGCTGACCCGCCCTGCTTCCGCGCGTTTGGGTCATTTCCGGGCCCTCCCTTCTGCCACCCTGCGTCCCGTTACCACGTTCTTGTAGTTTTAACGGAGAATTGACATGTGATCACCCTGGATCGTCCATCCCGGAGTCGCGGTGCCTTGTGTGTGGACAGTCTAATCACCAGCACGTTGAAGTTGCTCCGTAAATCCCTCAGTTTCTTGGTACGGTTGTTGCCACCTGTTGGGACTCTGGCTGCTGTTGGAAGTGGAGCCATCTCTTCTGTTTTCCGTTCTGGCCGGATGACGCCTGCGTGCGTGCAGACTGGTGTCTGTGTTACTTGTGCGCAGACACCCAGATGTGATTCCTTGTTGGTTCTGTCCCTGCAGCGCTGCTGGGTTTCTGACTCGGGAGGCCGTCACCCCACACAGAGCCCCTTCACCCCTCTTCCTGCTCGTGGTGTCCCTGTTCCCCAGCTCCGCCCTCCTCCCCAGCCCCACCGCCACCAGCCCCCAGCCAGGGCCTCGCTGGGAGGTCAGGTGGAGGGCTGGAGACTCTGGGCAGGTGCCCAGTGACCTCTCAGGCTCCAGATTTTCATCTTTCAGCGAGGTGTAGGGTTTCCTGAGGATTCAGGAGCTAATCCACGCGAGGTAGATAGACCGCGGCCTGGCGCCTAAGTGTTCACTTCCCGCCATAAACAGCGCTCGCTGTTGACTCGACATGGGCAGGCTTGATTCCATGAGAGGCGTCTCTTTTGGAGAGTTGGCTTCTTCCCCGTGGCCCAGAGCAGTAATGTACTTGCCCTGGAGTTTCCCGGTGGAGCCTGGCCCGGGACGCTGGCAGAGGAAGGAGGTCGCTGGGAGTGTTGCCATCTGGCGGGAAGAGCCCTTAGCGACTGCTGCGGCCAGCGTGCTCGTGTGACGCACTCCTGCCGTGTCTGTTCCCTCGACCAGGTGGGCTGGACGACACGCTGCACAGCATCATCGACCACGCCTGCGAGCAGAACATCCCGTTCGTGTTTGCCCTCAACCGCAAAGCGCTGGGGCGCAGCCTGAACAAGGCGGTCCCCGTCAGCGTGGTGGGGGTCTTCAGCTACGATGGGGCCCAGGTGAGGCGGGGACGGGGCGCGGCCTGTCCGCCAGTGCTCGGGGGAGGTGGGGCTTGCCTGCCTTCCTCCGGGGAGGCAGCCCGAGGGCCCCGGGCCGGAGGCAGCCGCCTTGGCGGCCTTGTTTCCTTAGCAGCACGGGCTTGGGATTCTGAGAGCTCTGGGCTCACAGCAGGCTGGAGGCATCCCTGTGGAGGGCGCCGTCGCCAGTTTGCAGGGGGCCGTGTCCTCTGTGGTTGGGGGACATCACCTGTGCTCTCGTTTCTGCCCAAGGACCAGTTCCACAAGATGGTTGAGCTGACGATGGCGGCCCGGCAGTCGTACAAGGCCATGCTGGAGAACGTGCACCGGGAGCTGGCGGCGGCTCCCGGGCCCCAGGCCCCGGCCAGCCCACCCGTGCAGGGGCCCAACCTCTCCACGGAGGACGGGCCCCCAGCCCCCGCCGGGGAAGAGGAGCAATGCTACAGTGAGTGCGGGGTGGGGGGCGGCTGAGCGCCCTCTAGGTCTTCGAGCTGCCTCTCAGGCCCCATTAGGCTGGGTTCAGACTTGGGAGGGCTGGTCAGCGGGTGTCTCAGACAGACCTCGGGTCAGGCAGCACGCAAAGGGGGTGGCCTTGAGGACAGCTGTGTCCCCCGCGGGCCGTTGTCAAGGCCGCTGTGCGCTGCGGGGACCGATGCTGCTCACAGGGGTCGCAGCGGGGGGCTCGGGGCGGGGTCCTGGCCGTGACCGGTCTGCTGGGTGCTGCCTGCCTCCCAGGAGGCCTCCCGGCCTGTCCCTGCCTGTCCCTGAGCTGTGTGCTTTCCTGTTCCCAGTTGAAATCTGGAGAAGGCACCTGGAGGCGTACAGCCGACGTGCCCTGGAACTGGAGACGTCGCTGGAGGCTTCGACCTCTCAGATGATGAACTTGAATTTGTAAGAAGAGTTCTGTCCTGTGTGTGTGCATTGGGAGTAAGGAGGGGTTTGAAAGACTTTGGGGCCTTTTTCTTCTCAGATCTTTGTTGACCACGCGTGTTTTTATGACTGTTCAATTGGAAGCCACCCAGCAGTGTCTGCCGGCGTCCCCGGGCCCCACGGGCGGGCTCTCCGTAGGCTGGCGGAGACCTTTTCGAAAAGCCTTGGGGCACAGCTTTGGCCCTTGAGCGCAGTGAGGCTGGAGGGGGCCGGGGTGGGGGCGGCGCTCAGAGCACCTGCCGCTCAGGAGACGCGTCGGCGTTGCGGGGCAGCTGGGCCAGGGTGGCTGTGGGAAGCAGCGGTGGGCTGAGGGGATGTGGCTGGGAGGCTCTGAGTGCCGGTGACCCAGCACAGCCCCGGGGACGCTGCCGGACGGGCCCTGCGGGGGGTCAGTGTTGGGACAGGAGGCACGGTGGGGTGCCTTTCTCAGGATGTGGCTTTTCAGCCAGAAAATTTAGGGGATACTTGAAGGGTTTGCTACAGTGAGCCTCAGAAGGAAAATCGGTTCTCTGACCTGTGACCTTTTGACATGAATTACTCTGTTTATTCTTAATTTTTCAAAGGAACACTGTGTATTGAAGTTGCTAAATTTCAGTTTTGATAATCTTCAGAGTCTTTCTTTTGTAAATGAACACATCCTGGATGTGGTCTCTGTCCTAGAGGCCAGAAGGACAGCAGTCACTCCTGTGTTTTCCTGGAAGAAGCTTATTTATTTTGAATAAAGAGTGATTATTTAACTTCGCTGGGGGCTCTGCCTGTCTCGGGCTAGTCAGCGGTCCCCTTGTCCTGATCTGGGACTTCAGGGCATCGTCTCTGAACGGAAGGGGGCGAGCAGGGAGAAGTTCCCTGCGCCCAGACTCACACCTCCTGGGTCTCGCAGCAGTGACTGCTGAGCGTCAGGCCCTTGGCGGCCCCGTTGCTGACCCGCCTCGTCCAGCCGCCCGCGTGCCTGTCACGTGGGAGATGGCGGGAACAGACTCTCTGCTCTGTGCTTGTCAAGCCAGCAGGGCTTGCGTGGGCCTTGAAAATGCTGAGTCGGATGCAGTCACGCCAAGTGCACTCCTGAGAGTGAGTGGCCTGTGACGAGCAGATAAACGCGGGACAGTGAGTCGGAAACGAGGCCGGGGCCGGGAGTGAGGTGGGGGCCGTCTGTGCAGCACTGATCTGCCCTCTCATCCGGGACCCGTTGTTCCTAGTGTGCGCCCTGCTCTTCCGTACACTTTCTGAGCTGTTTAAACGGGTGACGTGCCACCTGGTTGACCAAGCCCTCCGTCCCGTCCGCGGGTTTCTCCCCAGGAGGAACCAGTGCGGTCTTCCCTGCCCACGCTGTGTCAGCACGTAGCTAGTCGGCTGTAGTAGGTTAGACAATCAGAGATTACTTGAGAATAAAGGTTCCAAAATGAATTTGTAGGGAGAAAACTAAACAGCTGTCAGCTGCACCCAGCAACCTAGAATCATAAAAGTCTCTGCTGGAGACGCGGGGCTGCCAGAGCGCCCGAGGCCTCGGGCCGAGGGGTGTGTGCAGGTGAGCTGAGCGAGGGGTGGGGTTTTAACATCGCCTTCGGCTCCCGAGGGAGCCTGCTGCTGGTGTGACTGACCGCCCGGTTGCCCTGGTCGTGCTGCCACCTTCCTGGCAGGGGCCACCACTGCAGGGGTCACAGCGACCCACGCTGTGCTGACGGTGCCGCAGGGACCCACGGGGCCTCCCGGGTGCAAACACGCCTCACAGAGCAGATGTAGAACTCTTTATTTTTTCCAACAATTCAGAGAATCAGAAGTCAACCTCGTAACCACATTCCCCACCCGCGCACGGCCCGTCGATGTGACGGTGACCTAGTGTTTCAGTGCTGTGGGGCGTGGAGAAGGGGGGCTGACAGCAGCAGGAATGGGCCCAGCTCAGTGCAGCTCGCTCAGCACAGGTGCGCACAGGAGTCACGGCGAGAGCTGAGGGAGGTTTACCAAAAACTATGTCCCTGGCTGTGATGCTCTGTGGGCCAGATCGGCATCTGTTGGCAAGACGGGCAGCGCCTGGGCAGGAGGGGAGAGGGGTAAGGCGGGGTGGGCCGCCAGGGCGACCTGAACCCGAAAGCCAGCCGTCCTGAGAGCCTTGCTCACATCGGATCCTGGAGGTGACTGGCCGGAAGTGTGTGCTACTCCGTAGGAAGGTGCCCAGCTTCAGAACAAGGGGGTCTGGAAAGAGGCTGCGTCATGAGGCTGAGGAGACCGGGCTCACAGGAGAAGCAGCGCTTTGTTAACAGAAGTTTTGGTTTTACAGTAGACTGCATTCTGGTAAAAGCTGTCATTCCACAAGCAGATGTCTGCGAGCTGCTGCGCGGAGCAGCGTTAGGCCTGGGCCCTCGTGCTCACACGTGCACACGCTTGCGCACACACACACGGGCCCTCGTGCTCACACGTGCACACGCTTGCGCGCACACACACACACACGGGCCCTCGTGCTCACACGTGTACACGCTTGCGCGCGCGCGCGCACACACACACACACACACACACGGTCCCGGCTGCAGTGTGGACCGGAGGCCCCGCAGCTCAGCCTCGTGGGCTCGCCCCGCTGTGAGAGGAGGGGCTGCGGCCGGGGACACGTGCACAGCTGGCCTGCTGGCTCTTCCCTGCAGGCGAGCCTGGTGCCCAGGCTGCAGCCGCGGGGACAGGTGCACGCTCGGACCTCTAGCGGGCAGGCCAGAACTCGACGGTCTCCCCACGTCCGTGTCAGCTTCTGGGTTTGCACCTTCGCCCTCAAGGTTTAAGAGAAATTCCTGTCATTTGGAGCCTCACCTCCCCTGTCGCTGGGCGGCGTTTCTTGGAGTCACATGGCTAAGTGAAGGTGGCGAGAAGCAGCCGTCAGGAGGGGCCACCACCGCCGGCTGCTCCGGGGGGCGGCCCAATCGTGTGGTCACATGGCGTGACCTGAGGAGGAGACAGGAGCCATCACACACGCTACTGTCTGAAGCAGTTTCTGTTTGTAGCTTGTTAGTCGCCTTGGTTTCCTGCGTCTGCCAGACAGGCCCTCCTGTCCCCTCTAAGCACCTAAATAAGAAGGAGACATTCTGGCAACTGTCGCGGGTCCACTCGGGGCTCCAAGTTCTCTGCGCAGCCCGACGGCAGTGTCCGGCAGGCGGGAGGCCTCGCCAGGGTGCATGGCAGCGTGGGCTTGGGGTGGGCACTGCCTCCTGGCGCTCAGAAGGCGTCCTGGCCGCAGCTTTCCTGAAAGAACAACGTGGTCTTTTAGGTCCTGGAGCATCAGGCGGGCCCGAGTCCCTGTCCTGTGTGCTCCCCGTGGGGCCTAGGGTCTGAGCTCTGTCTGGGGTTAGGGTGGCCGTGGGGGCATCTTGCCAGAACCAGCTGGTCCTGCCTGACTTGGAAAGTCCTGATTCCCCTCCCGGGATTGGCCCTGGGTGGGAGGGGTGCGGGTTTCAGAAAGCAGAAGTGCTCGATGGGCCTGGGGAGGCACCAGCAGGACGGGCCCCGAGACGGGGCGGCCGTCCAGCCAGACCCCGCCCCCCCCCGGGCCCCGGCCCACGTACCCCACGCCTTCCTCCAGCTCTGCACCATGCGATCATGCTCCCCGACCACGGCCCTCCAGGCGGCGAGCTCTCTGGTCCACCTCTCTTGGTGGGTCGCCTCTGCAAGACAGAGCAGGGCTCAGGTCTCAGTTCCACTGGCCTTGGTGGCCCTCGGGTGCCCACCGTGCTGCACCTCTGCTGGGCTGAGCTGGGCCTTGGCAGCCGAGTGGGCTCAGGGAAGGTGTTTACCCCTCGGGCCTCGCCTTCCTGGCTGCGGGGGCTTCCACAGAGAGCCTCCTCCACCCAGCCTTTCCTGGGCCACCAGCACCCCGGGCGGCCGCTCCCCAGGGCCCCGCTGGCTCTGTCCTCCGTATCTCAGGGGCGTTTCCATCCAGCCTGGAGGGGACTCGACTCACTTCCCACGCCTCGAGGGGCAATGCAGACACCCTGGGATTCGGGGTGGGCAGGGGCTGGGAGCTGAGGCCCGGAAAGCAGCTCGGTAACCAGGGCTAGCGTCCCGTTACATCACGTGCTGCTCGCTCCGCGCAGCGGCCGTGTGAGTCTGGTCCTGAGGTTTGAGGAGGAGCGACTGCAGGGCTGTCCGGTTGGCACCAGCCTGACGGCCATGTGCTCTCTTTGTAAACACAGAAATGCGCGGCAGCGTCGCTTGGGACCGCGGCTCACGTCGCTGGTCTCAGAAATGGGTCCCAGGAACCTGAGCCCTTCAGACGGGAAGCAGGACTCACACCCGGGGCAGAACTGAGCGGGCCCAGCGCTCATGGTACCCACACAGCCAGCCCTCAGCCGGCACCGCCCCCCAGGGTGACAGCAGGGAGCTGGCGGGTTTCTGGAGCAGGGCCCTTGGTGGGCTGAGCTCCATGGGGCCCTGCAGGGGCTCCTGACTCAGGACGCGCAGGGCTGGGGCAGTCTGGGTCCCCGGAGGCTCGTTTTATCGTCTAACACGTCCTCCAGCACCGCCTGTGCCTTCGCAAACATGGTTGGAGGCGGGGGGGGAGGATGGAAAATACTGAGGCGCCTTAACTGCTTGCGTCTTTTAGCCCCTTTCCTGGCTTCTGTGCCTCCTGTCTGCACGGTGCCTTGGGTGGACCCTTGCCTGCCATCAAGTCAAGCCCTGTGCTTGAGCGCCGGTGGGCTGCGTGACCTTGGGTGAGTCCCTTAACCTTCATTGTCAGTGCGTGGGGTTCAAGTTAGATGACAGCTTAGCTCAAACTGGCTCGTTGCTTCTCTGGCTGTTACTACTTCGCTGTTTGCTGACAGCACCGTTCACTTGGCTTCTGGGTAAGACGTCACAATTTCTAAGTCTCACATGGGTATTCATTTTATCCTGACAGCAACAGGCAAGGGCACTTTATAGAATTGAAAGAAATGGGGGTTCTGGGTGGGAGTAAGTATTTGAAATTTCCTTTTCTCTGAAACCCCCACTTACAGGACAAGGGAGCTTTTAAAATGTGTACTTTGTGTATAAACTCTTGAAAATGGACAGAGGATAGGGGAGGAAGCAGTGGAAGCTGGAAGCTGAGAAGCCAGGGGGACCAGTGGAAACCGTCGCAGCAGAAGCAGCAGGCCCGGAAGGCAGAGCCCTGCCCGGCAGCGGGGGGCGGGTGGGGGGCCTCTCGGGGGCCCTCGGGAGTCCGGCGCTGCCTCAGCCTGGCGTGCCTGCTGCCCCGGGCGTGGGCTGCCGCCCGAGGCCCTGCACACGGCAGCTTCTCTGCTAGCGCGTCCGGGAATCACGAGGTGCCCTCGGAACGGGCTCCCAGGTCATCAGATGCTGCCCAAGACGACACCTGGGCTGGGAGGGGCCTCCCGGGAGGGTGCCCTGTGCCCGTCTCTTAAATGTACCCGGGCAGTCGCTCCCGAGACATACGAGCGAGACTAAGGCAAAACCACCAAAAAGGGGCAACTGGGAGGGAAAAGAAAACGGGGAAGTGCTCAGTGACCTCAGAGCAGAGCGGATGGCCACACGCAGGACAAGAGGAGGACGGGGTCCTGACAGAACAGAACGAAAACCCCTGCCTAGTGAAAATGTGAGGCTGGGGTGGGGACTCACTACAGGGGGCGCAGCGGAGGGAGGGCAGCTAACGGGTGGACGGGCCGGGAGAGGAGACGGACGGGGGGCCAGCCCAGGAGCCCAGCACCCGGGAAGGTAGTTCCAGAAAGAGTAGCAAATGACGTAAGTGCGGCACGTCCGAGAGTTGCAGGC